AGCACACGGCGATTTTACGCATGGACAGATAGCTGTTGCCCATGGGGAAGAACTTTTTGTCTGTGACCGATTTCTCCAAGGTGAATAATAAAAATAATAATAATAATAACAAATAATAATAACAAATATTTATATAGCGCCTATACTTTTCAGTGCTAAGCGCTAAGTGCTGAACTTGCCTTGGACAGGTTTCCATGGATTACGTCAAAAAGAACAAAAGTATTACCCATGACAGTTCCCGAGGTAAGTTTTATGGATTAAATAGAAACAACCAAAGAGGCTCAACCAATCAGAAATAGTGAAAAGTATCACGTGTTGTTTATGTGCTGTGTTCGTATTGGCGCCAAATTTAAAGTTGAAATTGAACGCAATGTTCGAAAACTCAGCAGGATTTTTTTACCTTAAATAAATTCAAAACGACCTTGCAACACTCACAAGTTTTCTCTACATCATTGGTCCAGAACTCTTTCCTTATTGAGTCGTCGCAACAACTTTTTGACCCCTACTTTTGACTTTTCAGCGAGAATTTGTTTTTCTCTTAAGGAAGTCGTCTTTGTTTTTTAGTCTCAAAATTTAAGGAGTGAACTGCTCTTGATGCTCTTGCTACGCTCAACTGATGTGGAGGCTTTATTAAAAGGGGAAAATTAAAATGGTCTAAACAATTTAATTGCAAATCATAGGAGGGCTGCATTATATAAGATTCCATGTTAATTAGTGTTCTTGATATAAAATGTTCATCCTAATCAGCATTCCATTATTTAGATGAAACAACCCCGTATTTCCCCAAACTAACCCTCCATTTGCTGAGTTTAATCGGGTGTGAAGGTCCTTACAAGTGAGTAAATTCTCGCAAAATTCGTGAAATCTATTGGACAATATGCATACTGAATATTAATGAGATTTTGAACAGCTACTTAAAACCTGCAATTAAAAACCAATAATAATAATAAACTGATAGTTTTAAAGATGCAGACTCTCTTTATATACTATTTAAATTGCCTACAAGTTCAATTTTAAAACTGCGTGTTAAAACACAACATAAAAAAATCACAGAAATTGGTGAATATTTTGATTATCATTAACTCTTTTCATATGACAAATCAAAAGTCGTAGCACGACGCAAGAAAGCTCATGGAGATCAAAAAGTTTCATTTCAATTTTCTTGCCGCTTTGCGGGTTTTTTGTGACACTTACGCTTATCACGTAGTGCCCTCCTGAGAGATGTATAGCAGGTTTTCCTACAACTATCTGACTAGAGTAGTGAGTAAAAGATACCTTCTAGCGAAATACCAAATTTCGCACCTGGTGCCCGCATTTCTTCAAAATGCGCGCCCCACCATATGAAAAACGGCAAACCGCTAAAAGAGTATCTTTTACTCACTACTCTAAAATAACACAAAATAACACAAATCTACTAATTCCTGTTATTACCGAATACTAAAATTATTCCATATTACAAATTCCACGTCAGAAAAAATAAAATTGAATTTAAAAGAATAAAGTCTTATAATAAAATTGCTCAAGAAATCATGTCAAATCAATCAGCTTCAAAAGAGTTCCAGAATATGTCTCTGGATCAAATGAGAAAATTAGTAAAAAAAGAGGAGAAAGCTCTTAAAAAAGAGTACTCAGAATTAGCCGAAAGAAAGAAACTAATCAAAAGGTTTCAAAAAATACAAAAAGCAAGGCAAAAAGTAAGACAAGGAATAAACATCAAGAAAAAGCCTAAAAAGAAGAAGACATTTCAGGAGTATTTTGACGAGTGTATAAAAAACAGAAAAATACCTGAAGACACTCCACCTTATCTTAAGAAAGCTATTCAGAAGGCTTTAAAGCAATACGATGAAAAAATAGTCGAGACTAAGACAGCTCTTGATGAGTTTGCAAAACAATATGTAATAGAGGGTGACCCAAATTTAACACCTGATCAATTTTTTGAGAAACATAAAAATCTTATTGAAATATTCTTCAAAAAGAATAAAAATATTAAAGCAAATTTTGTTCTTGTTTGCGATATGCAACAACCACTTTTTGATAAACATGGTCTTACTGGTTACAAGGAGGATAAAGCGTATTTTAGAACTGAGAAAAAGAGAGTTTTAAAGTCAACAAATGTGGAAAAGCTTGTAAAAGATAACTTTAAAAAGATTAACTTAGATATCGAAAAATATCAGAATAATGGAAGTGGATGGTATTTTAAGAATATAAAAGAGTTGCAGATAAATGTTGTTGAATACTCCCCTCAAAAAGGTTCATCTTATATAGATCTACCAGTTTGGATCAAAAATAAAAAGGCAATAATAAACCCGAAAAACAAAGATGATAAATGCTTTATCTGGTGTGTACTAAGATATCTTCATCCAAAACCAAGAGATAATGAGATAATATCAGATTTGAAAAAGTATGAAAAAGAATTAGTAACAAAGGGATTAAGTTTTCCAATGGATATTAAAAATATAAGAAAGTTTGAAAAGCTTAACCCAAATATTCCAAGTGTAGCAGTATTTTCGGTTGAAGGAAAAACTATTTACCCTCTTAAACTCTCAAACAAAAATTGTCAAAAAAGTATAGATTTATTTCTTTTTGAAGAGGATGGTAAAAGTCACTACTCTCTGATAAAAAATTTAAGTAGGTTAATCAGAACTCAACTGACTAAAACAAGAGTTATTGGTGGTGTCTATATTTGTAAAAGATGTTTGTGCCATTTCAAAGTAAAAAGTAGTTTTGAAAAACACGAAAAATACTGTTCAAGCAACAAAATGGTTGCAGTTAAAATGCCAAAAAAGGGAGAAAGTCTTTATTTTAAAAACTTTCACAAAAAGTATCCGGTTCCTTTTGTAATATATGCTGATTTTGAGTGTTTTACAAAACCTGTTTTAAATTGTAAACCAGATCCAAGTAAATCTTATAACATAGAATACCAAAAACACGAACCATCAGGATTTTGTTTTTATCTCAAAGGGGTAACAGGAAGGTTTAAAACAGAAAGCTTTACAAAGGAAAAAGAAGATGACAATGTGGCGGCTATTTTTGTAAATAAAATTGTGGGTTACACTCAATCCATTTATGATACTTACTATCGAAAACCAAAACCAATGTTAATAACAAAAGAGGAAAAGATTTCTTTTAAACAAGCTGAATATTGCTCGTTATGTGAGGAAGAATTGGGTGAAGACAGAGTTAGAGATCACTGCCATTTCACAGGTAAATACAGAGGTGCTGCTCACAACGAGTGTAATTTGAGATGTCGTAAACCAAGAGTTCTTCCAGTAATATTCCATAATCTTCAAGGTTATGACGCCCATTTATTTATAAAGGAACTTGCTAAAATTCCGGGAAAATTAGAATGCATTCCATCTACGGAAGAGAAATACATTTCCTTTTCAAAACACGTTAAAGTGGGAGAGTTCAAAGGCGTATCAGGTAAAAAGATTGAAATTACGTTTGAAATCAGATTCATAGACTCTTTCAAATTTCTTCAAACATCTCTTGCAAATCTTGTTTCAAATCTGCAATCAACAGACTTTGTTAATACAAGAAGAAAGTTCAAACAACATACTGAACTGCTTACTCGTAAAGGGGTTTACCCCTATGATTACGTTTCAAATCTAAAAAAGTTTTCGGAAACACAACTCCCACCAAGAGAAGAATTTTATTCTAAACTAAACGATGAGCACATAAGTGAAGAAGATTTCTATCACGCAATTCGTGTTTGGGACATACTCAATTGTAAAACAATCAGAGATTATCACGATCTTTATCTTAAGTCTGATGTGTTACTCCTTGCTGATGTGTTTGAAAACTTCAGGAAAACTTGTATGAAACATTACAATCTTGATCCAGCTTATTATTACACTTCACCAGGTCTTGCCTGGGATGCTTGCCTTAAAACAACAGGTCAGCAGTTACAACTACTTGATGATTACGATATGTTAATGATGTTTGAAAGGGGAATACGCGGTGGAATAACTCACATATCAAAAAGATATGCGGAAGCAAATAATAAGTACATGAAAACCTATGACCCCCAAAAACCCTCAACCTACATTCAATACCTCGATGCAAACAATCTTTATGGTTGGGCGATGTCTCAATCACTTCCAACACATGGTTTTGAGTTGGTTGAAAATATTACTAAAACTCAAGTTCTCAATATACTTGAAGGCAATTCAAAAAAGGGTTATATTTTCGATGTAGATCTTGTTTACCCAAAACATCTTTGGGAAAAGCATAACGATTACCCACTTGCTCCAGAACTTATCAAAGTAAACGGGGTTGAAAAACTTATATGTCATTTTAAACCAAGAGCTAACTATGTGTTACACTTTAAGAATCTAAAACAGTATCTCAATATGGGACTTAAGCTCAAATCCATAAACAGAGCAATATCCTTTGAGCAATCCCCCTGGATGGAACCCTATATAAGAAAGAACACAGAATTGCGTAAAACGGCAGCTAACAGTTTTGAGAAAGACTTTTTTAAACTTATGAATAACTCAGTTTTTGGAAAGACAATAGAAAACATTAGAAAAAGACAAAACATAAAACTGGTTGATAATCGTAAAACAGCTCTCAAACTTTCAAAAAAGCCTAACTTTGAAAGAGTTACGATTTTCGATAAAAATTTAATCGCAGCTCATATGAAAAAAACAGAGGTGTATTTTAACAAACCGGTATACGTAGGCCAAGCAATCTTAGACTTATCAAAAACCTTGATGTTTGACTTTCACTACAATTACATAAAAGACAAATACGACACCAAATCAGATTTACTTTTTACGGATACTGATTCCCTTATGTACCAAATTCAAACAGAAGATTTCTATAAAGATATATCAAACGATGTGGAAACCAAGTTTGATACATCAAACTATCCGCAATCTCATCCATCTGGTATTCCAACAGGGTTAAACAAAAAAGTAATTGGAATGTTCAAGGATGAAGTTGCTGGAAAACAAATCACACTTTATTGGACTTCGCCCAAAGCTTTACAGCTTTAAAATAGAAGAGGGTAAAAACATAAAAAAGTGTAAGGGAATAAAAAAGTCTGTGGTTTCAAAAGGAATTACATTTGAGCATTATTTTGATTGTTTATTCACGGGGGATAAACAAATGCGAAGTATGAAAATAATACAAAGTAGGTACCATGATATATATTCCAAAGAGGTGAATAAAATAGCTCTGAGTTGTGAAGATGACAAAAGATTAGTACAAATCAACAAAGTTAATACTAAAGCAATAAGGCCGAATTAAAAATTAAAAAACTAAAAAATAAATGAGTTACTCAGAAGATCAAATAAAAAAATATTTGGAAATATTACACAACTACACCAAAAATATCTCAGATGAATCAAAAATGCAATCCTCCCCAGCAGGGGGGTTTTTGGGGGGTGCAACCCCCCCATCTAAATGCTTAAATTGTGAAAATAGAAAATTTTGGACAATAGATTTTGGTTATAAGATCTGTGAAGAATGTGGAATAACAAACGGACACGTATTAGGTTACTTTGATCCAAAAGAGTACGACAGATTATATTTTAGGAAGAAAAGCGTTTACCAGAGAAAATACTATTACGAGAAAAAGATAAAACAGATTCCAAATTTGTCAGGAGAAGATAAGAGTTTATTATATAAAAAGTTAATGGAAATAGATGAGAAAGTTCTAAAAGAGGTAAATAAAAAGTTTAGCCGTAAGAGAATGATTAATATTTTTTACATAATCGAGAGAATGTTAGATGAAATGGGGCTAAATGTAATCTCATTAAATATTTCATCTCAAACGCGAGACTATTACGTCAGATGGTGGGAAAGTTATCTTGAAATAAGAAAGTAAATTTTAATCTTGAACCACCCCAGAATGGAAAACCCAATATAATATTCCTGTTAAGTAACCGATAACTTCATTTTCTTGATAACTAGTGTCAAAAACATAAAAACTGCCTCTTCCAAGTTTGTATTTGTCCCAGAAAGATCTGAAACCTAAATTGAAAATCAGGTGATTAGCTAATATTTCAGATTTACTTAATAAAGTATATCTATAACCAGAAAGATCGTAAATAATTTTGCTTAAGTCTATGGTTTGGTTGAAATACTTGGCGTATAAAAACTCGTGAACAAGACAAGCTTTGATAAAGTTGTCGTTATAAAATTGTGTTTTTACAGCTGGAAATCTAAAATTAACGTATGCAGTAATTTCCTTCAACATCTTTTATAAATAGTAGTATATAAAAAAAATATGGTATAAAGAAATAGTTTGTAAAATTAAAATGGAAAAATTTGTTTTGTATAACGGTAAAAAATATTTTATTCATCCTATTTACAAAAAATACGCTGCAAATGATGAAGGTGAAATTATTCATGTTAAACTGGGAAAACCGAGAAAAGGCAATATTATTAATAGCGGCTACTTCAAAATTACAATTCGTTTGCAAAAAAACAAGACAAAAACATATTTATCTCATAGATTCGTTTTCGAGTGCTTTTACGGTTTAATTGAAAAAGATAAACAGATAAACCACATCAATTCAATCAGAACTGATAATAGGCTAAAAAATTTGGAGTCCGTAACAGCTAGTGAAAATTGCATTAAATCAAGAATAAACAAAAATTATTCTTTTTTAAAAGATATTCGCAAAGATCCAAAAAGGGTAAAAGCAATAAATTTGTTTTCAAAAGAAGAAACAAATTTTAATAGCTTATACTCTGTTGGAAAAATTCTGGGAATAGAGCCAGCTCGGGTAAGAGAGATATGTGAGGGGCAAAAATATTGTAAAACAGCAAATTCGAAAATAAATGGTCAAAAATATTCTTTCAGATATTTAGTTCAGTGACTTTATCTCATCTAAGTAGTAAAAAATTTTTATAAATTCCTGACACTTTTTCTCATCTTCTGCACTGACTCCCTCCATTTTGGAAATCTTATGGCAAAGGCTAATCGCATAATCAAGACAAATTTGGTCGTCGATGCTATATTTCTCTTCCATTTCCTTTACCAAATCTTTTCCAACAGAAGATAAAGTAGTTTCAAAATTTTTTATAAAACTTTTTTTTAAATTTCTCAACTCCTCCATTTATTACTTGCTTAGATTATTTTTCCCCTCGTGCTTAGATTATTTTTTTCATCTATCAGTTGGAGGAAAGGCTGTTTTTTCCATTTATCTTGAGAGGGAGGGGTGTTAGGGGGCCCCCCATAAACTTCTTGTTATAATTACTAACAAATCTATCCGATAAAGGAGTTTGGTCAATTATCATTTCATCTATCAGTTTCATCCTATCAACAAACTCTTGTTTATCCCATTCATCTCCTCTAAGAGCTGATCTCAGTTCTACCAATACCTTTTCATAAGTGGTATAGGCGATCTTTGACATTTCAATTTTTCTCTGGGCATTTTCTTTCTTTCCAATACCCGCAACAATAATGCCAGCACCATTTATAACTCCTAAGACAACAGGATTAAGAGTTATTCCTCCGGCAATTGTTCCTATAGTTACAAGGCTTATTCCGGTTATAGTTAAAACATTATCAAGAAATTTATAACTTTTGTAACAATTTTTAAAACACCAATATTTTTTGTGATAATGCCTGTAAAAATCTTTTAGAGTTTCAATATCTGATTTTGACAGAGATTTATCAATGTGATTAAACTCAAAGATATCTTTCATTTTATCTTTCATTTTATCTTTCATTTTATCCTTTGCGTATATTATGCGGCGTAGCCAAGGGAGGGGGTTTCGGGGGAGGCACTCCCCCATTATAAAACATAACTTCCATTTAACTTTTCCTGTAGCATAACTTTATGATATTGCTCAGAATCAGTGTCGTAAAAGTTTGGTGAAAACATTATTTTACTTAAAATTCCATCTTGAGTTGTAAACTCAAAATTTTGTTCGTTGGTGTATCTAACGGCTTGTAAGCTTAATATTGCGCTGTAGTTACTTATTTTAACTTTTGTAATATTTTGGCTAAAATCTTCTGCTAACCATATAACAATTTTTTTTCCATTAAAATCACTTGGTAAGGTTAATTGACTTCTTTGACTATTAACAACTAAATTTACTGTGTTACCTGAAGTAGTATAGTATAAATTTAATAAAGTAGATCTGCTAGTTGTATCTTTTTTCTTTGTACTAAAATTTCTATTTCTCCAATGATAAAATATTAAACATAAAGTATATTTTGTAATATAATCAGGAGGAGAAAAACTAATAATATAATCGTTAAGATTTAGACCTTCTTTTTTTATATCGTCTATGGTTCTAAGAGGTATACTCATATCTCTTAAAGTATTATCACTACTTGAAGATAAATATCTGAAAACAATACCTGATGAGGTTCTACTCAATTTGTAATCAGCGGCTTTAGTAAAATCATAAACTTCTTCGAAATAACTTCTGTATAAATCGTTTATAGTGTGAGGTTTTATTTCCTTTACCATTCCAACTGTTGCTGCGCTATTATCATTATTTCTATCAAGATTAACATTTAATATTTTTTTATTATTTGCATTTATATCAACATTGTAAACCACTTGTGTTGGTTTGATATCAAATGCGGTGTGATAATCATAAACTTTATCCGGATCGATATTGCTAACTTTTCCCACAATACCATAAGTAATTATATAAACACCTGAAAACTGTCTTGGATAAGTAGCCAGATCAATTCCATCTTGTGGTATATTAACCAAAAAATGAAGAAAGAACTTATTACCAGTTGACAACTTCCGGAAATTAACTATTACTCTGTGATAATACATAAATTGTTGTTGCCCATTTGATTGTGTGTACCTATGTGATAGTTTCCTTATACTAACATTTCCAATAGATAATCCTGTTGAAGTTCCTTTGTCTACGCTTATTTGAGACTTATGCCATAAAGCGTATTCAGTGTTGAGTATTTCCAAGCACAGAGTGTAATCGGTATTCGCAGATAACCTGTAAAAGTTGATTCCCATTTTGTACTTATATCCACCTTGGGTATTTTTGTTAAGAGCTAAATAAATAACTTTGTGGTTATAATCGTGAAAGTTTCCTTGGTTTGGTGCTAAATCTCCTATTTTTTTTATAACAAAACTGGTTCCGCTAGTTATTTCATCAGTCCATTGAGCCGCACTTGACATAAGATAAGCAAACTGGTCGTTGTAATGACTTGGTTGAACTGCTGTATGATGAACCAGTTTGTCAGCGTAATCTTTATTTACCGCGTCATTGTCTTGGGTTGGCTTACTAAGATTTATTATTTTATTATTACCAAGATTAAGGTTCCCAGTCATAGCAACGGTACCATCTTTTTCTAAGTAATCGCTTAAATCTGGAGCACCTATGTTATCATCCACATACTTTTTGGTTGCGGCGTCTGTGTTTGATGTTGGAGTTGCGAGACCAACTATTTTTTTGTTTCCAAGATTTAGGTTATTAGTCATTGGTACACTTCCATCTTTTTTTATAAAAGAACGGATATCAGGTATTGAGTCATCCACATACTTTTTGTTTGCGCCGTCAGTGTCTGATGTTGGTGGTCTAAGGTTAACTATTTTTTTATTATCCATGTTTAAATTATTAGTCATTGTAGATGAACCATCACGGGCAACATACTTTAAATCTGTAAAAGCTAATGGTGTTGGTTGATTACTTCCATTTGGATCTGGTAGGTTAAATATTCGATTATTAGCCATATTGATATTACCTTTCATTGGGTAAGATCCATCTCTATCAAGAAATGTGTTGTCTACGTAATCTTTTGTAGGAGGTTCTTTCCCGTCAAGTGGAGTGCTAAGATTTGTTATTCGGTATTGATCTCCCATATCAAGGTTAGAATTGATTGTTAGCCTTGAAGTAGGTACTGATTCACTTGATTTATCATCCACATACTTTTTGTTTGCTGCGTCATCATTGGCTGTTGGCGCACCAAGTTTAACTATTTTATTATTATTCATACTCAAATTTCCTTTCATTGTGTATGAACCATTTCTGTCGAGAAATTTGCTGTCTGAGTATTGTT